AGATTTAAATTCAAATACAGTGCAGTTTTTACCTGACAACGGCACAACACTGCCAGTTTTAGGCAGAATATTTTAATTTTAACCAAGATGCACTGAAGTGCCAAATTATTGACGACATGTGTCTGCAGCACGATTAGACACTCGTTTATTTAGTTTATCAGCAAAAAAAAATGTTTATTTGGGGGTGACTTGCTCTTTAATTGATCAAAAACACTAATAGAAATTTGACAAATTCACACCAACAGAGAAGGAGTTACTTTATCTTCAGTACTCAAATAATTTGATTCAGAATATTTTCTAGAAGTAGTGTTGCAGTTGCTTGTTCATTCATTCATTCATCCATTCATTCATTCATTCATGCTTCACATTTTTCTGCTACAGCTGCTTTGTTTTAATAATCATGACGCTATTTAAACAGATTTGTAACTTTTAAACAAAGCTTTTAACCAGGAGCTAAATCATGATACGTGATCTTCATTACAAATGCATCATAAATAAAGTGAAACAGTCCACTTGCTGCCTCATTACAAACCCCACCTGACCAGCTTCGGTTGAAGCTAAATGATACATTTGATTTGTAAACTACTCAGCTCGGGGTACGTCACAGAGCACATTTTTAACCAGAGAGGGAAACAAGGTGAAGAACCTTTGACCTGTGTGCTGTAGGTCATGTTCACGGGGTAGAACGCTCTTAAAGCTGCTGTCTTGTGTGGCGCTGATTAATCACAGCATCATGACATCTGTCTGGCTTCAGCCCAGAGGAGATGTGTTAGGCATGCAGTGCCTCAGCACTTTTCCAGGAGGTTGGGGGGGCAACGTAGGAGACGGGTGGAGACAAGTGGACAGTTGCGTGGACAGACTTTAGACTGAATGCGCTCCGATGCAGCACGGGCGGTATTTACGCTCCAATGGCTGCAGGATCTGGGAGCTTGGTATATTTAGCCGCCTCGAGATCGCGCCGAGATGAGATTTCAAAGTGGAGTACCTGTTTGAAGATGCATAGCATTCCACAAGGGTGGGCAAGGGCTACTGGGTATAAATCTAACACCCCTGCACCTGGTGTGAAGTCAGGGAGGGAGTGTGACACCTAAGATTTAGAATGTCTAACACACAAGCTGTACATGTGTAAACTACACATTCATCCATATAAATTTACACTCTCCTTATAAATGAAAAATGAAAAAAAAGACATCACTTTTTCCTCTTCTACAGCTACTCACACAGATGCACACTTATATCCTCTTTTTTTGTTAGATCTAATTCTACTGGACGTTCTTGGAGCCATCCATCACTGTCTGATCTTAGATGGAGGAGGTTCTGAGAAATTCAAGTACAGAAACAGATCTTTGTGTGTGCTTTAAAGCATTAAATCTCCAATCTGGGCCTCGCTTTACAACAATTTCACTCTTCCATTTTGACATGATGCTTCATATTTAATGCTGCAAATGTTTGCGGTTTTAAATTTCAAGATACATTTCTAATGTTAAATACCTTCCTTCTCTTCCAGGATTTCTGCACTGTAAAATCTTATTAGTTAACCTAACTTTAAAAACACATGCAAACTGATTGATGTACATGGTAGTTAAGTAATTCTGTAGTAAAATGCACCCAAATACAAGTTACAATAACTAAGACAAACCAGGACATAGTCCTTGGAAATTTGCTGATTGAACTGGTATTTCTGAGTTGCAAATACTTGAGCTGTAGTAAAAATAAAGCAATTTTCTATGTACATTGTACTGGTTTGTCTTAGTTATGCCACTTACACACTAGCATCGGCTCCACTCCGCCCGCCCCAGCCTGGCCGCATTCGTTCCACACTGCCTTAGGCTTGGTTTATGCTCGACGCATTTACTTTCCGCTTGGTGATGCGGCTCGCGGATGGAAGGCGCTTCCCAACTCGCAGCGTTTATGGTTCATGCGGCTTGTCTCTGCGGTGAGCCAGTATTCTCTCAAACTGTAGGGGGCAGCATGGAGCTCTACGTAATGCATCCAACACTACACCATAGTAGAAGTAAAAATTACTGTTGTTTACAACATGGCATTCCAGCAGTTTTTAACAGCGTCCTCGTCTTTTCCGACAGTGCGAGCTATTTCTCTCCAAGAATTATTAACAACATGTTGATCACGGTGATCTTTGAGAGCTGAAATATACAAATGTCTGTATTAACGAACCTCTGCCATACTAGTTCTTGCCAGTCCGCCATGTTTTTCCGCGTCTGACCGTCCGCGTGGTTAGAAAATTTCCTAGGTGCGCGGTGCGGAAAGTTTGGGCTGTGCGGAGGCGCGGTGGAGGGGCGTTATTACGTCCCCGGCTCTTTAGGAGAGATGAGGTAGGGGCAATAATAAAAGTGGTGCGTGGGATAAATAATAGAGTGCAGCGTCGCTTAAAAACAAGAATTTTATTACAAAGAGGAATATTTACAAAGGAGGTTATCAAAATCTATATATAAAAGGGGATAACAAAAAACGCCAACCCAGAAGGGGATGGGGATAAACAACCGAGAATGAGAGGAGCTTTCCTGATAAGCAGGAAAGCCCTGGGGAGATCCTGAATCGCTGTCAAAATATGTTCCAAAGTCTGAAAGGCCAAATAGTCAAATCCTATACATCCAAAATCCGAAATCCGAGAGAGTGCAAACCGCCGCAAGCGAAAACTAGTTGCTGCGGGGGCCATCTAGTGGCGAGAGTACGTAACAGGCGTGGTTATTAAAATGACGCAATTTTGCCGAGCGAACCTCGCGGACGCGTCAAGCATAAACTAAGCTTCAGGATAGCAGACGTGATTGAGCACATGGGCTGGGGGGGGGGGGGGGGGGGGGGGGGCTCTGATTAGCAGATAGAATCAGCCCGCGAAGGCTTCCCGCATGCGTGATTCATTATCATTCTGGATGCTGTTGGCTATCTGCTAATCGGAGGGCCCCACCCCCCCAATGTTAGGCATGATTTTGAGCCGGCCAATCAGTCAGCAGTGGGCATGTTGGACCAGTTCGGCTCCAGAAAGACCTTATTGGGAAGAGGGCTGAAATGACGTCCGGTTGTGCGCAGGAAAATCCACGGCCACCTAAATGAGAACATTCCCAACCCGGTCCAGACAGAGGGGAGCCGATGCTCGTGAGTGAGTGCTGTTACAGTAACTTGTATTTAAGTGCATTTTACTTGGTACTGCCTGGTCACCCTGCTGGTAGAGCAGATCTAAAGGCCCTACATCTTACTGAAGCATTAAATGAACTTACCACGAAAGAAATAGTAAAAAAAAAAATTCAAAATTAAAAATAAATCTAAATAATTTAGAGTCATTAGAAGAAACATTGTTACATTGCATTAATTACCTTAAAATTATTATATTATTACTAGTTTACATTAAAATAAAGCCCTAATTGCTCAAAATCAAAAAATGCAAGAGACATTTTTTCATTGTTTTTTTTCTCGGTGAGTAAGTTAAAGGGTTAATAGCTCAAACACACACACACACTGCAAAAACAGATTTGCAAGAAAGTTTTTAAAAAGAATGATTTTTAGACATTTTAGTGCAAGAGAAAAAAAGTTAAAATCTTATTTGCAAAAACACTACATAAAATGAGGAAAATAATGTGATAAAATCTTCTTGTTTTGAGTTTAAGAAAAATTCTGCCAATAGGGTAAACAAAGGTAGCTTGACTAGAATTTTTAAACAAGCTAATAAATCTAACATTAGAGTTCTAGCCAAGCAACATTTTCTTTTGTCATTGGCAGATTTCTTTACTCAAAACAAGAACATTTGATAATTACCATATTTCAAATACTGTTTTTGCAGAAGTTTTGTCAAAAACGTGATAATTTCTAAATACGAGGCTTTTTTTCCTTTCTTGAAAAATCAGCTTTTGCAGTGCAATGACCTACTTCCATGTTCTTATCATTTTAACTCACAGAAAAATTACATTAACCGCTCCTTTGATGTCATTCAGTTACTTTAAGATCCTGAAACTTTTATGCCAAAATGCCGGCAAATTGATTTAAAACATTAAACTTAAGATATGAAAAACTTGATCCTTTAAAATCTCATTTCTTTTGGTCCAATTGTCCAGCCCGACTCCTTTCCATCCTCCCATTAGTGAAACAATAAAATGCTCTATTTTCGCTGGGCTGCAGGAGTATCAATGACACTTAAGGCAGCCGCGTTAAACAGCGGTGCTTTGTGAGCGATCAGCTTGTTTTGCAAAGCCACCACTTGTTTATTGCATTTCCTCCGAGCCTGTGACTCATTAATCAAATATTCATACATCACTGTAAATACACAACAAACAAAGTCAACCCTCAGATCGGCCCGTGCCCCTGAGCACAAATGGTCCTTCATGTTTCTGTCAAATATCCCAAATGTCACATCTCCTCCCGTCTAGCCAGCCCTATTCAGATGCTTCACTTTTGCATATTTAATGCTCCCGCTCGCTCTACACTGGCTGTTGCTAAGCCAGAAAGGAAAATGGACAGAAACAGGCCAGGCCGGGGATCTAAAGGATGCCTTTATGTGCAGAAACTAGAACAGATGGATTGTCTCCCTCTGTCCATCCAGCTTACCCTTTGCCCCCCACAGAAGGGACATTTCCCTCTTTTAAAAAGCGCATCGCATCGTGATACAAGAGTTTGTATTGTACATAGAAACGGTCTAGAATAGCTTAAACGGAGGGGGGCAGCAGACGGATTATCTGTGGTAACAGAGCTTTGCACACAAGGATATTTTCTTTTCCTGCAGAGGAGCACAACTGCTGCCAGTGTCATCGGGTCACATTTTTGCCGGTTCCTGGTTAATGGGCTGTAGAGATGGTTAGCACGTACGATTAGTTTTAATCTTCTACATTTGACCGAGAGAGAAAAAGAATTGAATTTATTTCAACACACCACTGAGGTTTGTATTCCGGGTTTAAAAATGAAATAAACACTTCTTTTTTTCTCTCCTCCCAGCCATCCCCCCCCCGGGGGGGGGGGGGGTATCTGATTCAGGTAAAATACTCGATTTGTTCAGCTCGACAGCGTTAAAACTTTTTATTAAGGGCACGTTAGTTTAAACAAATGAAAATGACTTACAGTGTGTGACGCAGAAAAGTGCTCGACTGATGCATTTGTGTATTATTTGTTCATTTTAATTATTGCACAGTAACAGATCTTCTTCATCTCAATGTTGGAGCATAGGAACAAATCAGAACATGTGTCAAAGACTTTTGCAGACTTTTGCAGACTGTTGCAAAGATGTTGCAACAGCAGCTGAAAAATGCACATTTGGGCAAACCATCGATTTGCATGTTTCATGAATTTGACAGAAGTGATTTTACTCAAGATAAATCTCAATAGAGTGCAGCTCGTGGCAGTTTCGCCGCTTTGACTCATCCAGGCTCCGTGTACGCAAACAAACACACATCCTGCCACTCGGGTGAAAATTGTGCTTAACTGTGAAAATTCTACCTCAACAAAAAGTTCACAAATTTTCAGAAATACGCTAGAAAGGTGTTAGACAAAAAGGATTTTAAATACTCCAGGTGAGGATCAATGGGCAAACTTCAGATAGGTAATACTGATCCGAGACCAGTGGAGGTCTTTTTACATAAATTAGTGAAATCCCAGAGCCTCGTTTACAAAAAAAAAGAATAATGCTTTGATTTAAACTTGCACTTTTTCTTTAAACAGCTTCTACACTGCAAAAACTGATTTAAAAACAACCAATTTTTAGACATTTTATCTTATTTTTGGCCCAAAAAGGGAAAAAAATCTCTAGAAAAATAATATTATGTAAAATAAGGTAAAGAATCTTAAAAATCATATAATCATAACCATATCATAATCCTCTAAAAAAAACAATCCACCAGTGGAGTAAGCAAAAGTTGCTACTAGTCGCTAGAACTCTTTAAAATAGCAAAATGATCTAAATTTTGATTTATTTGCTGGTTTAAAGAATTCCAGCTAGTCCACTGGCAGATGTTTACTCCAAACAAGACCATTTTTATCATATTTATCTTATTTTAAGTAATGCTATTTTTCTTGAGAATAACTCATTTTCTTTTTAGACAAAAAATAAGATAAGAAATTTAAAAATGACACTTTTTTTACTTTCTTAGAAATCGGTTTTTGCAGTGTAAACATTTAGTATATAAATAATGATGAGCCTAAAGGAACGGAGCTTAGAGATGTCTAAGAATCTCATTTAAGGTCATGAATCAAAGCTAAAAAGCTGAAATGCGCGGTGCATTACATCCTCTTTTAACTTTTGACGATTTTAACTATTCACTTCATTTGTGGAGTTAATGAATATTCTAAAACAAGCTTTGATGCAGGTTTCTCTTAAAAAAAAGCCCTGAAATTATTACCAGTAGGAAATCACTCGGTGTCTAGAGTGCATCCTGACACAGAAATAAAAAAATTAAAAAACACGTAAATTTGATTTCTTCTGATGAACAAATATTTTTTTTTTTTTTTTTTTTTTACAAATGAGGCCCCAGACAAGATTGTAGAAACGTCTGAACTACAAAAGCAGAAGTAATGACATATAAAGTGTTATTTTAATGCTACTATAATAATAAAAACATACAGTCAGATTCAGTGGAGCAGCGTGAAAATCTGATAAGTTCCTGATTTTTTTGTCTGTTCGCATCGCCAGGCCACAAAAATCTAACCAGATGTAAAATCTGGATTAATGTTAAAGAGTCACTAAATGTGTGTGTGTGTGTGCGTGTAGATTTCAGTTCCAGTTCCCCATTTAAGGCGGGCCGTCAGAGCAGCACGAAGTCCCCTGCGGTGGTGACGATCCTCGGCTTGTCTCGGATGAAGGGCCACTCTCGCTTCCCCGGGTTCAGGCCCGCCGACAGGTCGTAATCTCTGCTGTGACCTTGCATGAAAGTGAACGCTGGGTATTTCTCCTTTGCGGACGGCTGCAGCAACTGGAACAACAACAAAAGGAGCAATTCCTGTTAAGCTCAGAATTTCAAAATTGGAAAGAAATTCCCTTTCTGGAGCCAAATAACACTAATCCAGGAAAAAAAGGAGACTTAAGGAGAGAGACTGCTTTAAAACCTCCACACAGCTTGGGCTGGCGGATTCGTTCACATTCATGACTAAATGGTGCCACCTAGTGGTCAATTACTACAGGCCTTTCAAGGACACTAAATTGGCATAGCCATCCATCCATCCATCTTCTGAACCTGCTTTGTCCACGCAGGGTCACGGGGGGGTGGGGGGGCTGGTGCCTATCTCCAGCAGTCAACGGGCAATCAGGCGGGGTACACCCTGGGCAGAGAGCCAGTCCATCGCAGGGCAACACAGAGACACACAGGACAAACAATCATGCATACACACACTCACACCTAAGGACAATTTAGACAGACCGATCAACCGAACAGTCGTGTTTTTGGACTGTGGGAGGAAGCCGGAGTACCCGGAGAGAACCCACGCATGCACAGGGAGAACATGCAAACTCCATGCAGAAAGAACCCAGGACCTTCTTGCTGCAAGGCAACAGCTCTAACCACTGCGCCACTGAGCAGCCTAAATTGGCATAGCACTAAATGAAATGATAATAAATTTTTTTTTTTTTTTTTTTTTTACATCTTACCTTGGACAGCTCCTCACTGATTCTCTCGTAGTCTTCAGCACTTCTGGAATAAAAGCCAATAGTGCAACTTGGATCCATTTTGCTAAAAGGCATCTTCTTTGGTGAGGGGCAATGAAACGACTGCACAAAAAGAACAAATCACCTTAAACAGCTCCAAATGATTAACGTGAACTATAAAATACATTAAAAAAATATCTGCACCCTCTGTATTTGTAGTACTCCTCGTGAGTGCACTGCAAAAAACTGACTTTCAAGAAAGTAAAAAAAAAAAGCCTAGTTTTTTGTCTTTTTATATTTTTAGTCTAAAAAGAAATAAAATCTATTCTGCAAAAACACCACTACTTGAAATAACTTGCATATGATTGAAATTTCTTGCTGTGAAGAAAAAAAAGAGTTTGCATAAACAAAATTTGCTGGGCTAGAATTCTTAAAATTAGCAAGAAATCCAACATTAGAATGCTTTCTGCTTTCTTTAAAATCCGTTTTTTGCAGCGTGGGACTCTAACTGGTGCTGGTTTAAGATTCACACCTTTAAGCACAAACAGAAACTATTTAAGTCACATTGCCGGAGCCCCAGCTGTGGGATTTTACCTGCAGAGAGAAGTCGCTGCTGCTGACATTCACAAAAGACTGACAGTAATGAGGATCCATGTAAATCAAGCTGTCGTCTGCAAGGACAAAACAGAAGACAAGTTATTCAAAAACATCAGATTATCACAGAAAAATGTGATTCTCCTCAATATCTATGCAGAGCAGCTCAAAGTCACTCCACCTGGCTCACTGTTGGGCTTGTGTGCGTCAAATATGCCTCCCAGAAGGTTGTTGCTTTTTAATATCCACCCGGCTGGATTAAATTCTGCATAATCGGGTGCGTTTGTACAAGCACATCTTTTAAACCCGCAAGAAAAGAAGGTTGTCATTTAATTTTTGTGTGTGAGTGGGGGGGGGAGGGGATTACTTTCACAAACACGCAATTATATTGGACCATTTGCATATGATGAATGCGGAGCTGAGCGCAGACCTGGCAGGGAGAATGTATTGCTTGTCATTTAGACATCATCCTACAGTGTATTTCAAAATTGGTAAAATGTAAATGCGTAAATATTGACTGCCAAGATGTACAACTGAAGGTTCCTCCTGGCTCCTGAAGGTGATGAAGAGTGGCTCACTTTGGGGCCTGGATGAAATTTAATGCATGCCTCCTATGGAAATCAATTATGGTTTACAACTTGGGAGGTTTACGTGTGATAAATGGGCGAGGTTTTGATGGGTCAGAGGGAATAAAGTAAGCCCTGCTTCGCTTGCTTTCATCTCCACTCCTCTTCGTTTTCCTCACGCAAACACGAATACATTAACTTACGTCGTCTCTGCACATACAAAGCCCGTATTATTCAAAACTAATTTGTTATTCACGACTACCTGTGTGTGTTTTTTTCCCCGTTTAGCATTATGCTAATACTCACCTTGAAATCCCACGAAGTAGCAGGCCTGTTTGGGCTTTCCTCCGATGATGCCTATGCAGTACTCCAGACTCAGTACGCTCTTAATGAACAGACACGCAGACTAAATACTTTCCTTTTCTTCCCTATTACATGACTTTAAAACAATATCAAGCGTATTAAACTAGACTTGACTTTATTTCTAAACACATTTGTTATTCTGTGGGAGTTTAAATCCTTCACCTTTGCAAACTCAAAATACACCGGATTTGTCCTCTCTCCTCCCAGCCTCACAGGAACGAGGATGACGACGGCGCGGTTGTTTGGCGGCGTGGGCTGCGGCGCTGGTCCGTTTCTTGGCGTGTCATCGGGAGTCTCTCCTGCTCTGGGCGCCTTGTGGCAGTCCAGCACATCAGCACTGTAAACTACAAACAGATCCATCTATTAACGGTGTGGTTTGCTCGTTTATTCAGTACATTTGCAGTGTTCTCTAGTGTAAACCAATGCCTTACGAGTTACTTTAAAAAAACTATGATGCTTCTGTTCTGAGATGCAGAAGTTTGCTGGTGCAGAGGTGAGCTGTACAATGCTCTGATTCATCTATACTTAAAGGGACTTTAGGGAGTTTTGAATTTTTATGCTCGCGATTGCCCCCTCAGGCCAAAAGCATAACGGCAGCTTCAATAGTAGGCTCGTGCACGAACTGTACGTGCACACTCCTTAACGAAAATTACAGCTGAGACAGTCCCGTGTGTGTGTGTGTGTGTGTGTGTGTGTGTGTGGGTGGGTGGCCCGGAGGACAGGAGAACGCGCAGCAAATTAATTAAATAATTTGGTTCTGTACCTTTCTCTTCAGCACAGCCGACAAAGGTTTATGATGGGTCAGTCTTCCTGCATGCTCAGATCATTCCCTTCCCTTGCTTGAAAAATTGTTCCAAAATGAAAGTTGAACCCACATCTTTTTCATCTGTGAAGTCAATGCCGTTCGGCGAGTCTCAAATAAAAATTTGGGCATCTTACTGTAAAAAATATACCATTAATGTAAAAAAGAAACTCTAAATGAACTATGTTCACACCCAGAATCGAACCCAGGACTTCTGTACGCGAGTCGGACATCTTACAAGGTGAGCTAAAGCGCCAGTGATGTCCTTTTTATCTGTAACGTTTATATCCTTGATGACACTTGAAACAACGTTCAAAGAACGGTTCGAAGCGAAAATGGCTATTTTGTTGCTAATTTGCAGGAAATATCTAGAAGAAAGTTCTACAGAAAGTAGCTAAGGGTCCTCAGAAATGTAGCTAGGTTCATCACTAGGCATTAGGAACAGCGACAAAGTGGCACTGCCTCTCTCTCTGCTGCTAAAGCTACGGATAGCAAATGCTACGGGCTGTGCCTGAGCGTGAACGCGCATGAAGCAGCCTGCTCGACCCAAGCATCTCTCTTTTTCTGTGATTTTACAGTAAAACAGGCAATCACAGTAAAAATGCCAGGGCTCATTCTACAGGACCAGGGCACTGCAGGAGAATGTAGGAAGAAGAAATGTATTATTTCTATACATGTTTTGGCTGTCAAACTTCCATAATGCCCCTTTAATAATGTAGAAATCTGGGGAACTGCATGTAGAACTTATATACAACCATTGTTTATTTTGCAGAAAAGAGCTTTGAGAATCACAGTAGAGCTCCATCTAACCCGTTATTTATAAAATATTAAGTAATGAAATTTCATGATTTGGTCGACTGGAGAATATTGCATACAATGTATGAAGCTAATATAGGTACATTGCCAAATAACATTCAGCGATTGTTTGAAAAGAGGGAAAGTAGTTATATGTTGAAGGGAACTGAAGTCTTCAAAAGGCCCAGATTTAGAACCAGAATGAAGGAAAGGAGTATTTTGGTGAATGGTGTGAAATTATGGAATTGGCTGGACAGAGAAGTGAAAAAGTCAAGAACTCTAAAAGTGTTTAGAGAATGTATTAGATCAAGTGTGTTGGGTGGATATTAGGGCTGCAACAACGAATCGATAAATTCGATGAAAATCGATTACTAAAAGCGTTGGCAACGAATTGCGTCATCGATTCGTTGTGTCGCACAACTCTTCCAAAAGCGCCCCCCCCCCCCCCTTCCCGAATCCCGCCCGCCGTTGCGCGCAGACCAGAGCAAGTCAGATCAGCACGAGGGAGAGCCGCAGATCAGCGCGAGGGAGAGCCGCAGATCAGCGCGAGGGAGAGCCGCAGATCAGCGCGAGTGAGAGCCGGCAGATCAGCACGAGGGAGAGCCGCAGATCAGCGCGAGGGAGAGCCGCAGATCAGCGCGAGGGAGAGCCGGCAGATCAGCGCGAGGGAGAGCCGCAGATCAGCGCAAGGGAGAGCCGCAGATCAGCGCAAGGGAGAGCCGCAGATCAGCGTGAGGGAGAGCCGGTAGCGGCAGATCAGCGCGAGGGAGAGCCGGCAGACTTGCGCTGCTGCGAACCGGTTCCGCATTGTTGCACAGCGATCCAGGCAGCTGCTTCCAGCGCACGGTCCATTCTCAAAGTGGCGCAACCAAAAAACTATAATTAGCACACGATCGTTCTTGTCTGCACATCTCCTCTATTTTCTGTCTTATTTGTGCCTGAAGCTCGCTACTGCAGAGCTCATCACCTGTGCTGTGGTGATGTCACCTCACGCAGCATCGAAAACGCGCTCTGCGCTTTTTGGTCAGGAGATCCCTTTGATCTGCTCAAAAGTAACTGATGATGTGAAAAGGTAAGAATCCAGGCAACAGATTTTCTGGAGAATTAAGAGGAGATGCAGGAAGATGAGAGACAGACAGGACAGGAAAATAGTTCAATAAAAACAAAAAATCAATCAATCAATCAATCAATCAAAGCTTTATTTATAAAGCGCCTTCCGCAACCCTGTCAGGAAGCCCAAAGCGCTGAAAGTGAAACAAAGCGCTGAAAACAAAGTGTTGAAAAGTAAAATGTAGGTAGATTTATCACCACTACACGTTTTTACCAGTAAAAAACAATAAGTTATACACATGTCATATTTATACATCTGATACAATTCAGATCACCTTCAAAACTCAGTCACACACCCAGGGCCGTTTCAAGACATTTTGGGGGCCAAGGCAAAATGACCCCCCCCCCCCCCCCCCCCAATAACTGGGCTCCCCAGAAGCCTCTGTGTAATTCATGCCCTCTCCAGTAGTGTTAGTTATACGGTGTTTATAAAAGCCCCTCAGACATTACTGACATGTTCTAATATTATCAGATGAAAAACTAAATTATCAGACATGCTGTCTCATCTGCTTCTTTTATAAACTTGCAAAAAGTAACAAAACCATTTGAAAGCCACTATTTGTGGATTCTCTGAAAGTTTCCATGGAGTGTGTGACTAGTTATTTTTTCATTGATCCTATCGTCTAATCTCACAGCTGAAACAAGCATCCTTAATAATCTGCACAGGAAGCGTACCAATGCTGTAGTAAAACAAAAGGTATAATAATTTATTATTAATAAAACCTTGTTGCAGAACTAAAGCAGAAAAATTTGATTTTGCATTAAATATGCTAAATATTTATATATGAATTGTTTTAGAGCCCTTTAATTGGCAGAATCTGATATTAATTTAGTTCTTACAAAAAATGGGTCCCAACATGGTTTGTGTGGCGTTGCCATAGTGTGACGTCATAGGCACAGATCCCCTGTCCTCTTGTTTGGAAATGGAAATATGGTCACCCTACATTAAACAAACTGTCCACCCGGGCTTTTGCGCTGCACAGAGACGCTTCGCTGCCTACGACTGAACGTCAGTTGAGAGTCAGTCTCATGCAGAATGACCAATGAAGAGAGGGCCTCAAGTTAAGACCCTCTCCTCATTGGTCAGTCCACACGAGGTGGGTCAAAGGTTACTCTGGGCGGGTTACGTGTTGTCAGGCATTCAAGTATTGAGTATATTTACTGCATATTACAGTAAAATATTCTGTATGTGACCACATTATGGTGATCCTCGGGTCGTGATGATGGAGCCCTTGAATATTGTTGCCCAGGGTACAACAAAGTGTTAATCTGGCCCTGGTTCCGCCGTCACATTCCCGCAGAAACTGGTTGATCACACCGGGGCCAGACTACTAGCATGTGGTTTTACAACCACAATGTCCTCAGAAGCAAAAACGCTTTTAAAAGGGAGGGAGGAGTCCTAACTGTTGCTGCAGGCGTGTTGTGTGAGAGTGCAGTTATATACTGGTTAATATATTTTTGGGTTCAGTTGCTTTCATGTGGCCTAATGTGAGTCTATTTGGGATCATTGGAATGATCAGCAGCATTTCTTGATGTGACTTTATGGCAGTTGCCCAGGGCATCATCACAAGGAGGATGGCATTCATTTACTTTTGTTTTATTTGGTATTTTTTCAGTCATTTTTGGAAATAGTGATCAATTTTGATTAATTCACAGCCTATGTTTAATTACATTTAAAATATATGTCAACAGATGAGATCAAACAAAACAGATGAGAATTGCCCTTAAGCTGTTTAACTTGGACCAAGCATTTTAGGTCACAGATAGATGTAGCTTAGGGTCTCTGTCTATACACCTTATAAGACAATTTAGGTGATGGCATGTTGTTTTTCTGCTATTGAACTGTTTTCTAATAATGTTGTGTTAAATAAAGTGAAGGAAGGAGAGAAATAACGTTTCCCTAGCAGTTTTTAAAAATTTCCCCATGTAATCCGATTAATCGATTAATCGTGTCGAGACCCCATCCGATTAATCGATTATCCAAATAATCGTTTGTTGCAGCCCTAGTGGATATGAAAGTGAATAATGTCAGAATGAACTTCAGAGGAATGCATAGATAGTTTTTTTTTAGGGGCAAAAATTATATGATTTTTTTCTTCCATCTGCTCCCTTTCATTCAAGTATGTATTGTGTTTATATGTATACTGTTGATGTATTTGTTGTATTTTTTTTATTGAATGTAATAAACATTTGGAAAAAAATTAAAATAAAGCAGGATTACTCATTATATATCATATGCACACACCTTGTTTCTGATTGGTTACCAGAACGCATTCAAAGTCATCATCACCAAGTCACTCTCTCCTCGCAGCAAAAAACATAAAAAAAAAGCCTTCCTGTGGGCGGGCGAGAGCTAAGATGGGCGAGGCCATGAATGCTATGTGTGACATAGATACGTGAGGATTTTCAAATCCTGGAGTTTCACTGTCTATTTTCTATCAGAAGCTCATTCAGGAGATGCAGTGCAGGCCATAGGTTTGGACACACCTTCTCATTCAAAGTGTTGTCTTTATTTTCATGACCACTTACATTGGTAGATTCTCACTGAAGCAAAACTATGAATGAACACATGTGGAGTTATGTACTTCACCAAAAAAGGTGAAATAACTGAAAACATGTTTTATTTTCTATTTTCTTCAAATTAGCCAGCTTTCCTCTGATTACTGCAAGAGGTAGTCACCTGAAATGGTTTTCCAACAGTCTTGAAGCTCATCAGGAGAATGTTACTTTTCATGGTAATTAGTTACTTTTATCATATTGCAACTCAGTTACTAACTCAGGTTGTTTTTGACGAGGTAATTAGTAATGATACTCTATTAGTTTTTCAACGTAACTTGCCCTTTACAGATTGTAACAGTTTTATTTTAAATCATTTCAATCAGCACCCACGAGCCACATGATTTCCTGTTGTGTTAAATAATCCTAAATTTAAAATTTGAATTCACAGACTCACATAATTGTCGAGATGAATCGTAAGCTTGGGACTTTGGCCGAGATTCATTCATTGGCACAAAGATGGCCATCAAGGACAGAGTGGACGAATCAGCACGGAATGGGATAGTTTAATGTCCATTATTGGGATCTTGAGAGGTTGAGGACCAACAAACTGTAAGACAGAGAGGAAATTATCTCTGTCTGGCCCCAAAACAATTTCTAATCGGAATCTGGCGCCCTTGAGCCTGCAAGGCTCCAACGAAAACTCCCCTCTCTGTAGATATGTGGAATGTGCCGTCGCTATGGCAACTCAACTCTGTCTCCTATCCCAGTCTGGGAGGGACTGCGGGAAGGCCGCTGAAACGTTCCAGGGTCACTGCAACCCTCCAACCCTCAATGCTCCTCCCCTATCCACACTGAGGTGACATGCGCTGCTTCTATCATGGCTGCAGGAACTGAAGTGGGGATAGTCCCAACCCACCACCCCACCTAGTGGACACTTATGTTGTGTAATGTCTGAAGTCTGTTGCATATCTGTATGAGTTTTTTTTTTTTGCAGAGCAAAGCTGCCCTCCTGGTGGAGGGTAGCTCTGAAGTGCCTTTTTTTCCCTCCACCTGAACCAACCCTCATGTAACCCCTCTTATCTCTATTAAAGTAGCACGACTCAGGGTTGCGAATGACCACAGTCACCAGTTCTTGTCATGTGTCTTTCCCATGTATGTCTGATCTCTGAATTGTGTGTACTGAAACTCTAATTTCCCTCTGGGATTAATAAAGTATCTTTGATTTTGATTTGTTTGAGGCATTAAAAAATGTGCCAACTTTGATATTTTAGAAGCACAAATTGACATTTTTGCTACTGAGAAGACCACCGTGACTCAGAACCAAGGATTTGGAGGTTAAAACGGAGGTTGGCGCGGGATGTTACAGATTTGAAATGGACGTGTTTGTTGAGGGAAGAGATTCCTGTTCTCGCTTTAAGATGATAACGTCTCCCAGCAGCAGGAAGATGGTAGAAAAATAGAAGAGTCAGACTGGGCTCCGTGCCCAGTCTCCTGTTTTATCAACAGCAGGATCATTTTTTATACCTGTGCAGTCCTGGGAGACGTAGGCAGTTATACCCGCCAAGCCAGGGTCCATCGCTTTTTTGACGGCTTTCCTAAAACGAGGAGGAAAAGTAGATGAGAGAAGGAAGCAGGGGAGGAAATTTGAGTTTATAAAAGGTCATTATGTTTAGGTATTATGGCTTCTCATATAATTTTAACTAATTTGGAATGGCTCCTCCTTTTCAATAAATTAAAGGTACATTGTGTAAGAATGAAGTAAGAATGTCACCCTGTGGTTAAAGTTGGTTACTGCAGCCCATTTTCTAAACACGCATGACTTTTTCCATTCCTGTTCCGTGAGTTTCATAGCTGTTGCAAGTTACGGATCAGTGCCAGAAGATTCCAGATGACAAGCAAAGACAAGTCATACAGAGTAAGTTGATAAAAATAATAATAATAACATTTCATTGCAACATGGAGTTGTTGGTCATTGAAAAATTAGCTTGATACATTTATAGAACTGACTGTTGCCAATTCACCCTTAGCATTGTTAGCTCAACGTTAGCCTCCAAACTTCTTCACCCAATATTAAGAGTAAAACAAAAAGATGCCGTGGCTTATTAGGGGCTTAAGAAATAACTTCTGGGTTGCTCCTATACACTGGCTTATGATGTTTACAAAAACTGTTGCTTTTAGCCACCTGGTGTCAAATTACAAATGCCAGCGCTGCAGTGTTAGCTTGCACAGACTTGGCAACCCCGCAGGCTCACAGATTCAAAATAAAGACCACATCCCGCTTTAGCTTTTTTGAAAGAAGAAAAACCATCTAGAATGAAATTTGTTTCCGTATAACCTTCCTTCCAACATGATTGAGACATTAGACTGTTTTGTGATAATTTCACTGTAATGTTGCTACATATTGTACCTTTAAACTAAATCTTTTAAAGTAAACAGATATATCGTGCATTATCATGCACTTTTAAAATAATAAAAATAATATATACCATATTTATGTTAAGATATTCTTGTATTTGGCAATTAATATATATTCTATATTCAAAGTTTTTGTTTATTTTGACATATTTTTGTGCAAAAATTTTAGTTTGTCGAGCAGAAAATGTATATTTTCTAACTGAACTACAACAGTTTTTCACAATTAGACTTATTTATCATTATACACTTTAATGAAATGAAGTTGATATAAAAAGATCAAACGTACTTGAGGATGTGAGCCACCACGGATGGGCCATACCAGTCCCCTGCCTGCTTTCCCATTGTTTGTCCTAAATACACAAATCGGTGCAGACCCAGTGGAGCTGAGGAGGTGTCCCCGAACCAGGAGACCAGAGTGCGGTGGTTCATCTCCTTCAGATGTGCATCCGCCTCCTCCGCTGATCCTGGATTTTGGCCTGAAGGTGCAGGAGATGGTTTGCTGTCAGAGGTCCTCATGGCACCCTGCAGAGAAGCCTCCAGAGAGGTGACGAGACGCTTTGCTGCAGTGGCGGTCCATGTTTCTGTGTCTAAAGGCTGAAGGGTGAGCGCCTCTGACCACGTCCATTCTGATCAGATCAAAATTCTAATTACTTTAATTGTTATAGATTCAGTTTATAAACATTCAGCTTTTTCTTCCTATCCAACACACGTAGAGGCACTACTGACTCATGCTGGGAGTTTTGGATGCATCTTGGTAACTTAGCTGAAAGGTGAAAGACTTGACTGACCTGAGATTGGTGGAAAATGGAACTCTTAGAATCAGCTGCTGATTAATTCATAACGTTCTCAGATGTTCACAAAGACACTGATCTTAAAAAGTCTGAATTTTTTGCATTTCAGAAACAGATAAGGTGTCACGGTTTTCAATTAGAAGTTTGAGTGTTCCGATATTTCACTTCAACAGAGCCTTACAAACAGACTGGGAGTGGCGAGGGTTATAAAACAACCCAGAGTCAAGTCCAAAGCATTAAAAACCGACCTTGATTTAAAATGAACCCAATTTAAAATGAATCAATAAATATCCTAAAGTGGACATTAGTCCCTTTATAGAGAAATATTTCAATAATGACGTATTTTACAGGCTGGAAAGAATAAATCTGAATTATTGTTTTTTAAATGACGACATTAGACTGCTGTGTCATTAGCTAGACTCATACGGTTTTGGATATTTGAGAGACGATTAATCACGCAGAGGTCAGAAGTTCACCATTTTAAAAATATTGCATCTGCTGACTTAAACTTTCTGTTTCACTTTGAGAGTGATCGAACCCTTAGTTACGTCTCCCAACTCCAGAAAGGGAAGCGAAAACAAAAAGTGGCAGATTATTTTAAAATGTCAGTCTAAATGAAATTCCCAGGATCAGACTTATTTAGGTTAACCACGTTCCCGATGATGCATTTACACACAGGAAGCTCAACATGTAAAAACTTTGAAACAGCAGAAACCTTCTGAGCAAAGGAGTGAACGAATAACTGAATTAATTTGATATTATGAAGCCTTAAATCCCAGATTTCCACTGATGAACCAGATATAAGTCGAAAAGATTAAGACTTATTCCCATTTATAACCTCCTATTTAGCAATTATATAAACCAAGAAGCGCGTGTAAATTAGATTTAGTTTTTCCTGTCGGTTTATTTTTCTATAACTCAGTCTCAGTACCAGCCTTCTTACCTCTGCCCAAAAAGTGCAGCACAAGAGCTTGAGCCAGCATCATTTGTCCAGCCCTCAGCATGCAGCCCCACCCACAGTCAGAGGTCAGGGTGCTGCCTGGGAGAGGAGCGAAATCTTCCCGGTAGGTCAGCCACACTCGGGACGCAAAATCCTTTCGAAAAGCCTCTACGTTCCCCGTGGCACAGTCCTCACCAGAAGCTTCACAGCTGGTTTGAGAAAAGCAGTCGTCATCTAAGAACAAAAACAATCAAAAGTGTTCCAATTTACTTATTCCATCCTTTTAACCAATTAAACATTATTTATTTCATTTCTTTGCTGATAAAATTTCTCTTTCAGGAATTTTTTTTTATGTATAAAAAAGAAAAATTAACTTCCAACTCTTAAAGGTTGAATATGGAACATGAGCACTATAGCGACATCTGGTGTGTGAAGGCTGTAGTTGCAACAATAGAACAGAGTTTCCATCCGTTCGGATGCAGGTTCGCTATGAAGTGGCCAGCCAGCACCAGGCCCAGTGATGATTGGTACAGGGTAAGGACTCATTTCTAATTTTACAACAGTAGCCAACGTTGGAACATCTGGGCTCAGAAGCAGCTGCATGACTTGTTTTACACAGTGCCAGCCTCGCTGTGCCGAGCAGACTGTTTAATGTATTTAGCTAGTAGTTGTACACATTAACCCAGCGTCGTGCCTGTCAAAATAAATATTTTATAATTAAAATATAGCTTTTAAAGGAAATACTGTACATTCATTCTGCACACATCTAAACTCCCCGTGGAGGTATTATTTTCAAAAAATATAGCTTTTTATTCAATTGCTTCATATTCTACTTTTAATGATCCAACTGATGCATTTCAGTGTTCTCTAGTAGGAATGATTGAGTTGCGAGTCATTTTATGTGGAAAAAAATATATCCGGTTTTCCTGTTTCAGGAAGTAGGTCTGTTGGAGGAGAGAGAGGTGGGATTAAGTGTCTTAATCATTAATATTCATGATGTGCAAACATCTCGCCTGTGATTGGCTAATAACACAGACTCTTCCACTGCCTCCATTCACTCTGCAAAACTGATGTTTTATCTCCACAAATAACAAGACTGAACGTTTTACGTTGTGGAGCTTCTAATGCTAATAGTTAGCTTCTACTAGCTCTGCTCTCTCCTGGATGCCATCAATACAGTCTAAAGACCAGGTGGGTGGGATGTAAACACATTTTTCCCGTGACGTAGAAGAGACTGGCTTTTTCTGACCCATCACTTTAGGGTCCGTGTCTTTTCGGTGAAGAACTTGTTCACATTCAGCATGTACATGCAATTCAGAGTGACCAATCATATTTTTAAAAAAAACTATTACTTGGTTTCCTCAGTGAGCAAACCCTTACGTAATTTTCTGTCTGAGGTGTTCACCCCAGGATGGTATTAAGGTCACGGGTCATGTAATAATAATAATAATGCATTGAACTTATATAGCGCTTTTCTAGACACCCAAAGACGCTTTCACACACTCTCACATTCACACACTGCTAGTGATGGTAAGCTAATTGTAGCCACAGCTGCCCTGGGGAGGTCTAACAGAGGCGAGGCTGCCATTTGGCGCCGTCGGCCCCTCTGACCACCAGTAACACCATCAAAATTGTACACTGTAAGAAATCTGACAAATTCTGGGATTGGCACTGACAAGCAAAAGCTTCAGTAATTTATGCTAAATCATGAAGACCCAGGGTCCAGCACAAGCTCGTGTCAACAAAGAGGGATGATCTTAGTTATTCATTGTTGGAAGTAATTTCTCCAAAGTTTTATTCTGAGAATCCCACTCTTTAAGCACAGTAATGCATTTTTGTTTCTTTTGCCTTGAGTCACTTAAAGCATCTTCACTGTGAGATCTGCAGAGGCGTGTGCATCTACTCAAATAGTGATTGCAAAACAAATTACTGGACCTGTGAAAAAAAGTACTGTTAAAAAATAACTTTCAGCATGCTAAAGTGGTGTGAACAAAGTCCAGACCCAAAACCCATACCTAATCTCCAAAGAATTCAACACACAGGTAACAACGGGAAGACCTTCAAAAAGCATTTATCTAAAACCATAGTAGAAATGTAGAACCCATATTTCTTCTTAAGATTCTAAATAAAACATAAAAAGTTTATATATTTCTGAGCTCGACTCCAAACACTAAACTGTGTGTCCTTGTAGGACTGTGTTAAAGGGGATATAGGCCAGGGGTGTCAAACTCATTTTAGCTCAGGGGCCACATTGAGGAAAATCTAATTCCAAGTGGGCCAGACCAGTAAATTAAAACCTGCTTTTCTCCCAGTCCTTGAGGGCGCAACATCTGTAGCGAGGCTTACAGCGCGGGACCATTGCACTCCGACCCTGTCCAGCGCTCCAACGAGTGCGGTGATAATATCAGCTGCTGTTGTATCCATCATGGACACCCGCTCAACAAACTCCTCGGTGACGGTCAACGTGTCATCAACTCCGCGGGTGAAAATCGCCAGTTAAGCGACATCTGTAATGTCCGTGCTTTCATCAATAGCAACTGAAAAAGCAATTCTTTCAATTGGCTGTCCAAATCCGCTGAAATATCAGAAATCCTGTCTGGAATTGTGTTTCTGGTCAGGCTGATATTTGCAAAAGCTTTGGCGCTTTTCAGGGCGCACAATCTCTTCTGCCTTCATCATGCACGTTTTTACAAATTCCCCCTCACTAAATGGTTTTGAAATCACTGCAATTTCATTAGCAATCAGGTAGCTAGCTGTCACTGCAGCATCACTGATATCTCAGCTGTGAGTAAACGCAAACTGCTGTTTCTTCAGTCCGGCCAACAGTTCATTCACCTTCTCTCTTCTCCGCTGTCCTTCAAATTTGTCATACTTCTCGGCATGAAGACTCACATAATGGCGACGAAGGTTATATTCTTTCAGCACTGCAACATGCTGTGAACACACCAAACACACAGCTTTTCCGTTCACTTCCATGAAAAAATAGGGGGATGTCCATTTTTCTTGGAACAACCTGCACTCTGTGTCCACTTTTCTCCTTTTTGACAGAGACATCTTGGGCTGAAGCACAAAATGTAGATGCCGGACTAGATATCGGGGGCTAAACAAAGTAGCTCGTCAGAACACCTGTTGCACTGTTGATCTTCTTAGTCCCTACACCCCCAGCAGGTCCCTGAGGTCCAGTGACCAAAGCCTACTGGTTGTGCAGCACCAGGCTAAAGACCAAAGGTGACAGATCATTTGCTGCTGTGGCCCCCAGACTCTGGAACTCTCTCCCCCTGAGCCTGAGATCAGTGGACTCAGTGGTCTCCTTTAAAAAGCAGCTGAAGACTCACTTGTTCAAGCTGGCTTTTGTATGACCTTCTTCACCACTCTCTCTTTATTCTGCTCTCCCCACCTATTCCACCTTCCTCAGGATCCACTGATTTCCCTCTTTCCTGTTCACTCTCTCTCTTTCTTAACATTTTTTATTTTAAATCCCAATTGTCTATTTTTGCTCATTTTAAATATATTTTTAAACATTTTCTAAATGCTTTTTTATATTTTTACATTTTTTTGTTTTTGTGAAGCGCCTCGTGATTTTTATCTTGAGAGGCGCTATAGAAATGATATTTTCTTCTTCACTTGGTTGACGTACTTGCTCTGGCTGAGGATAAACGGCTTGCTTGCTTAACACAATGCTTTTTACACCATCTAGTGAACATATTGGGAACAGCAGGTTTTTTATTGAAAAAATAGAGTTTATTTTCACTCACATTGTAAAGTATGAAAATAAAGTTTATACAACCATCTCGCGGGCCGGACTTAACCCGTTTGCGGGCCAGATTCGACCCGCGGGCAGTCTGTTTGACACTCCTGATATAGGCAGTTTTGGCTTGCTTTTAGCACCCCCTAGTGTCCGTTTTTAGAATGAAACCAAAACCTATCTCTTCGCTGTCAGTTTCTCTTTATAACATCTTAATCTAATGGCTGAAATGTCTCCCAGCCTTCCTTAGTGTCTTCAGGAGTGATTCATCAATAAATTAAACAAATCAGCTGAGTTTGTGATCTAAAACATGTAGGAAACATGCTGGAACCAGACTGCAGCGCCAGGTATGTCAGCTCATCTTTTTTCTAAGTTCAAACAGAGCAGCTGCCAATCTGAAGTTGTAAGTGGAATTTTTTTGGCCACGGTGGGGAAAGGGGCTGGCAGGCCTTTCATTAACCCTGTAAAGGGCCATTTTAGCACATACTGGCTCAAGAAAATTATTTCAAAATGTAAAAAAGTTGCAAAAAAATAAATCCCTTTAGGCCTCATACCTTCAGCTTTGAAATGGTAACACTTCCCCAGAAGGAACACTGGAGAATCTCTACTGAATGATGTCTTGAGTTTGAGAGCCCAACCTAAAAACACACAATAAATCTGTGTTAGGGGTTGGTCCATGGCTTCAATAGATGCACAAAACACTATTTACTCAGTGAACCACCACACCGTCTTTACAACAACAATGTGGGGATGAGTTTCATTAAACCTGCCCTTTACAGCCTATTTTTTTAATACGAAACCACTTGGTACTGTATAAATGAGCAGAAACAACTCAAGACCAGGCACGTGTGTGTGTGTGTGTGTGTGTGTGTGTGTTGGGGGGGGTCTTGAACACCTGCATCTTTCGTCCGAAACGCCCAAAGTGCCCTTTTTCCGGTCTTCCATCAGATTTTACCGTCCAAAATTGTCAAGCATGTCATTGATGGGAGGGTTACCACTGGTTTTGGCTCTTGTTTTTCTGGCTTTCTGGTGAATCTGTTTACATTTTTTGCTCTATATGAGCCCTCTCTTTAACTTCGAGCACCCGCCCCTTGAAAGGTCTCTGCACGGCCCTGCTCAAGGCCCTCTCCTGCTAGTACAGACTGTATGATCAACACTGACTCAACAGCAGCACACTGTCTGGTTGAGCTCTGGTGCCTGTTCTATTTGTAGTTTATCTAAATATAAACTTATGTTCCACAAATGTGCAAAATCCAAAAAGGTCTTTCAGAATTAGCGAATGAAATACAGTTTTAGACACTGCTGTGTTTAATAAGAAAAGTTATGAGGTTGGGTTTAAGTGGCAGGAGACTCGACGACTTACTGTATTTCACATTGTGCCACGCTGACATGAATTTAGTCTTCAGTTTTTCCACCTCGTCGCTCCCTTTATTCTCCATGTGGACCAGCGAGGGAGATAACCCATTCCCACACAGCAACACGAACCTGAACGGACACAAACACAGAGCTTGGACGTGAAGGAAAACTTTGTATGAAATACAGCTCCGCTTACCTTATCCAGTTGGGTTTCTGTCACAAACGCGTCGTTGTTCAGGAGTCAAGTTTAAACGAGGCATCGTGTCATAAAATAAACTAAATCTTCTATGTAAGCTGCTGCACAACTTCACGCCCCGCTGCAAACACCAATGTTTGAGGAAGTACAACGGTAGTCATGTGATCTCGCGGTGTTTCCGTCGAGAACGGAGACAGAAGCGGACAGTGACTCGAATTCAATTTCACGGCAGCCCACGTGGGCGGTGTTTAACTTTTCTTTAAAGGATGTTTTTTGTTGTTATTTGCTTGTTTGTTTCAGTAAACATGATTCCCAGCTTATTTTTCAAATGTGGTGCAAATGAAGTTCAGAATGTACAGCATCACTCAACATTTTCTTTACTTTCTTGACTAAATGTAACTAAAGGGGACACGTTGTGCAAAACTCACCTTTAGGATCCTATTGTGTTGTCATGTGGGTGTCTACTGCCTCTTTTAAATCACAGACATATACATTTCTGTGGCACAGAAGTGCTTGCCCCATAATCTGAAGGTTGAAGGTTCGAGCCCCGGTCAGTCTGTTTCTGTCATAGTTCCATAGGGCAAGACACTTCACCCACCTTCCCTGCTGGTGGTGTTCAGAGGAACTGGTGGCACATGTGTACAGCAGACTCACCTCTGTCAGTGTGCCCTAGGGCAGCTGTGGCTACAGTGTAGTTCATCACCACCAGAGTGTGAATGTGTGTGTGAATGGGTGGATGACTGATTGTGTTGTGAAGTGCCTTGGGTGGTTGTAGAATCCTAAGAAAGCTCTATACAAATACAGGCAATTTACCATTTATTTTCCTAAAACAAGCTGGTCCAAAAAGTCCCTGTTTGTGACATCACAAATGGGGAAATAACATTTATTCCACCAACCCACCATTGTCTGATGCTTCCTGACTTTTTAGCCAGCTGAATCACTTCCGGGTAGCAGTACGTTTTGTATTCCCTTTATTGTGTTTTTTAAGAGATCTTTGCAAGATCTACCAAGGATAATGGTCAACAGCATAGTCCAGACCACATTCAATAAAAATAAAGGATTTAAATAGTATGTCACCCTACATTTATTATGAAGGTGAGTTAAACTCCTGCTTTAGGTTGCTAGATGATGATACATGCTAGCGCTTTACTAGGCAAAGTTTAAGCAACGCTAACAATGCTATCAGAGAGATAAATTAATATCAGGAGTCTTTGTTGTTACTGAAATGCTAACACTCTGCTAATGTTGTTAGCATTGCTTTTTCACTGTGATAGTGTCCGTATAAACCAAATCATGTCAGATTCTACAGATCAGTTCTGTGGGATACCCCAAAGCTCTGTTTTGGGTCCACTGTTGTTTCTACTGTACATACACCCTCTTGGACAGGTAATTGATTCTTTTCATAATGTATCTTATCACCTATATGCAGATGACATTCAGATGTACTGCTCCTACAAACTGTCTGAATTACTAGTCTATCAGTCATCAGCTGGCTAGAAGATAACTTCCTTCAGTTAAACTCTGAAAAGACTGAATGTCTGTCTGATCATTGCCCCCGAGACCATGGTTCCCCTGATTAGTCTAAAACTTGGTCATTTACCCTCTGCCGTCAAGACAAACGTAAGGAATTTGGGTGTTATTTTTGACCAATCAATGTCTCTTGAAGGCCACTCAGAAACATTGGTGCAAAACAGTTTTCATCACTCAAGAAATATCTCCAAACTGCGAAGGTTGGTGTCAAAACATGAACTCGAAATGGTTATCCATGCCTTTATCTCCTCCCATCTAGAATACTGTAACACACTCTTCACATGTTTTAACAAAAAGGTCCTTGACCGCCTTCAGTTGGTCCAGAACTCTGCAGCGAGGCTCCTAACTGGAGCAAACAGAAGAGCACACATCACTCCTATTCTAAAGTCTCTGCACTGGTTACCCGTTAACTTTAGAGTTCATTTTAGAATCCTGACTATAACTTTCAGTGCTCTACATGGTCAAGCTCCTCCCTATATTACTGAACTGTTAAAGCCTTATGCTTCAACCCGAGCCCTCAGGTCCACCGGCCAGAACCTTCTAGAAGTTCCAAAAACCAAATATAAAAGAGGTGATCGCTCCTTCTAGACTGTTGCACCCCAACTATAGAATGATCTTCCTTTATCCTTACGCAGCATTGACAGTCTGGACACTTAAAAAACAGCTAAAGACCCTTTTATTTAAAGCTGCTTTTTACGTAAATCTTTTATTATTTTAACTCAAATTTGTAATCTTTCATCAGTTTATAAAAGTTTATAATTTTATTAGTTAATTATTTCTGATGTTAATCTAATTCTGTTTTGAGATCATTGTGAATTTTTGACTTTATGTTTTATTTTGTTTTGTCTATGTGAAGCACTTTGTGGTTGTCTGTAATAAGTGCTACAAATAAAAATGCACTTACTTACTACATTGTCTTCCTTGCAGTAATTGCTCAAACAAAATCAAACTGTATTGGAGAATTGCCTTCTTGGATTCCTTTTGGCCGCAAATGAGAAAAAAACAGGTTAATTTTGTGCAGCTTGTGTACAATAGACTATCAGTCCTCAACTGGCACACACCCCAAAACTCCAGTCTTCTGAGTATGTTTTCTGCACATGACTAAGGTGTGTATGGACAAATGTGAAACTAAACTGAAAAACTAAAACTGTAAATGCATAATTATTCACATTGTATTTACTGTGGTGTGCACATTGGGTAAGAAATCCTTGGAGGCATGCATCTGTATTATCTGTTGATTTGCACATATTCATGCTGGCTAAATCACATTCAAAGTGGTGGGTAAGTAAAAAAAAAAACATATTTTATCCAGATGTGTGAGACAAGTGGAGAAGAGAGTTTGAATCTAAAGTTTGGCCCCAGAGCCCATTTAGGCAAATTTAGAAAACTTCTAACCTAAAGCCCAAAGATAAACAAAAATATTCTTCAGCAAATGCATATCAAAATTATAAACCGAGTCTTTTTAAAAAACATTAATAATGTTGGGAAAATAATACATTTTGCATAGTTTGAGAAACATAGTTTAGGAAAACCTGACTTAGCCTAATTGCTAAAATCCATTTCACTATGATTGGTTTGAAATCTGGGCACCACCAACAGGTCAGATACTGCCAACAGTAGATTTGAGCCCAGACTTGTACAATTATAATCACCTACACTGGTGCAACGATCCAAAAACTGGAGTGACTGTTGGTACAACACAAAATAAGTTATGCAGGGGTCATGCTTGTAGTGAGGAGTTAGTTGGAGTAAGGAAGGAAGGAATAGAAAAGAGAAATGTGATGTTCTGTACTAGTAGACATGTGGTCATCAATAACATGCACATTCATAAAACACTGAGTATACTGTACTTGTCTGACACACACACACACACACACACACACACACACACACACACACACACACACACACACACACACACACACACACACACACACACACACACACACACGGGTACATGATGACAGGAAACAGCTGTGTTGACTGGTACACCATTGTTTACAGGGGGTTGTTATTACACACAATAACTGTATGGACCGACTTTTTGTGCTAGTAAAAAGGACTGTGTATGCATTTTTTAAATTCAATAATGTGGATAACTTTATTCAGTCCAGTTTTAAGATTAAATTCATTGTAAACTAATTAAATACATCCAGTTTTTATTGTACAACTTGTAGGTGTATTTTACAGGGTAGAATAATTTTGAATTATATATTCTGCATCTGCAATATTAAATAACTCCGTATATTCATCCAAAAGCCGCATGCATCTTTTCATTGGGTGTGTGCT